ATGTACGTATGTACGTATGTACATATGTACATATGTACGTATGTATGGGTGTGCATGTATGTACGTACATGTATGGGTGTGCATGTATGCGTGTATGTGGTATGGATGTATGCTGTTAATAGAACCAAAAAATCAGACCTAACAGGTCAAAAACTACATAAATGGATTCAATAGTACACAGAGAAAGACGAATCAGCAAACCGCATAGTTATACCAGCCAATGAAATATATCAGCAAAATTGTCATCGATACGGAAATAAACAAACGACCAGTTAGGAAGTTAATTTACTGGATTTATAGATAGACAGAGACAGATAGATAGATAGATAGATAGATAGATAGATAGATAGACGGATAGACGGATAGACAGACACTGATCGATATTATGGGCATACAGAGATTGTTCAAGAGTCGTGTTGAGAACCATTCAGGTTTGGGATCCATGTGGGAACCCACCAACACGAGCTGGAAAGTCAGACCTAGCTAGATTCCTATATCGACGATTCTAACTTCGAACCATTGAGCTATGCCGTGACCCAAAGGATGGTTCGAGGTAACTAACCCCACTCCTTGCAAGGGCCCAGTCATTTAAGTCTGATCCCCTCTCCGTGGGACCGGCACGGACAAGGACAACAGCAACTCTCAAGCCGTGGACTCCACTTGAAAACGTAACATGAGCGTCACTTTGCGAGCAGGTATAGTTATATGCTATAACTAGTGGCTTATAACCAGTTTCATTATCCTTCTCACAACTGCCCATTAACTTTCAGCTGCCTGGACCAGGTGTCCTGCAGATCTGCCTGTTTGCCATGAGCGAGCTGAATGCGTCCAATGTCACGGGCTTAGGGGTTTAGGGTTTAGGGTTTAAGGCTTCTGTTGAAACCGTCCCAGACTCAAACATGCTCTTTGGTTGACAGTGCATGCCCCCTCGAAAGCTTCCGCTGCATGTCGCCTTGCGTTGCTGATGAGTGCTCGTCTAGAGGTCTACGATTCGATTGTCGTCGAGTTTATTTGGCCAGAACTGTGCTGGACTGCTCTGAATCCGCGGCGTGTAGATCTAGCCTCACGGTTTTGCTGCTCTGGGGGGTAGTGCTCCCACATTGGACATACCCTTGAGGTTTCGGGTTCGCGGGTGCGGAACCTGTGGTTCCCAGATTATGGGGTGTACCTATTAATATATATATATAGTCTTACTCTCCATTATAGCTCCTTTTCCTGGTTGAACCACTATCAACAAACCCAAAAGAGACTACAATGGAGACTAGATAGGTTAAGCCCTATAAGCCTAAACCCTAAACCCTAAAGCTAGGTATATATGAAAAACCCTAAACCCTAAACCCTAAACCCTAAACCCTAAACCCTATGAATCCGGCAGACCAGGAGTCTGTTGGTTTGGAGTATTGGGCTTAGGCGGTTATAGGCGATGTGCCCCAGACGGCAGCCGACAAATCCCCAAAAAGCGATGCCCAAGCAGCAGCTTGGGAAACACCCAGGAAAGCACATGGTTCGGGTTTGGGGGAGCCCTTCTTTTTCGGAAACTCCCGCTCGTATCCCAAGCAGCTGCATGCAAGGGACTAGGTATGCCATTGATCTTGCAGTTGAATATGGCAGCTTTGACGTGCATCAACTGCGAAAGCCGATGCTCTTAACGCAGTGCAGTGCGCGTTTTAGGGTTATCCTCTCTCAACGTCAACGGCCACCAACACGCTGAATCCCAATAACAGGCACCCCCTCCTCCCCGAAACTAAACCCATCTGCCCTTAGCCGTAAAATCTCTACACCCAAGGGGGCCCTGATCAACTACTGGTTGGCGATGCTTTTCGGATGCGCTGGAGAGTCCTTGCTGAGCACGTGCGGTGCTGAGATGGCCCTTGGGTGATTGTTGAGGGTATCTGTCTCTCCTTGGCCCCCCCCCTAACGATCCTTTATGGTAGCCCCTACCTGAAGTCTCCAGTGTAGTTCCTTTTTTGGGGGTTCTCTTATTGGACTCTAAATATAAAACTGGTTTAGCCCAAAAACAAGGAAGTGCAATGAGACCCCTAAACCCGAAACCCTACAGTAAGAGGATAGGTATGAGTGAGGAGTCAAGAGCCCTTCTACAGGAGAGTTAGGGGGTCCTGGTTGGCAACCTGCGACCTTCTCCGTTGGCTGGTGAATTTGTAGAATACGGAGGCATATACATGTATCTACGCATATATGTATATATATATATATACACGTTTTTGATATACACACACATACATATACATATACATGCATACTGACAAGCATACATACATACATACATACATACATACATACATACATTATGTATGTATGCATGTATGTATGTCTGTATGTATGTATGCATGCGTGCATGCGCATTCGGTGTTCCCGAGCCAGAAGCTCTGGGTGCGTTCACATGCTTTAAAATCTTCGTAGCTGAGTAGATAACCTTTAACCTTTTGGGGCACATATATATATATATATATAGATTCCTACTAGAATTGAAAAGGTATATTTTTTGGGCTAGGGTACTCAGCCCCTAAGAAATTCTTATGGTATCGCTGTTTCAGGTCGTAGACTCATCGCGGTGAGCGGCCCTTTCCAGCAGAGAAGCCATGTAGGCTTTCAGGGTTTAGGGTCAGGGTGTTAATGGCTTTGGTTCAGAGTCCGTGGGTTTTGATTCTTGGGGTTTGGGGTAGTGAGACCTCCCATCCTACAGAGACACGGCTGTTCTACATCAGGGCCCAATCGTCATAAAAAAGTACCTGCATCCGAAAAAAGCAGCCCGAATATCCTTATCATGCAGCCTTTAGCCGTAAGTTCCTCGCCAGAAACCCCTGTAATCCCCAAAATCTTGAATCCTACACAGTCTTGAACCCTAGCTAGATCCTCACTTGTAGTTCCTGGTTTCGGCTATCTTATTTCGAAGAAACGTCATCGGCCACCCTCGGTTGTGGTATCCTTGGTGGATTACGGGTTCCATGGTGAGGACTAGGACTCAGGGACCCCAAGAAACCTACCTCTTGAGGCTTCTTAAATACAATTTCCACATATATAGAGAGAGAGAGAGGACTAAACCTACCTCTTGAGGCTTCTTAAATACGATTTCTACATACATATATATATATATATATACATATATATGTATATATATATATATATATTTCTATATAGGACTAAACCTACCTCTTGAGGCTTCTTAGATATGATTTCTATGTATAAGTCCTTAAGGTTGGTTATCGGGCTAAGGCAGGGCTTGGGGCTCTAGTAATTTTTGAAACTAAGACTGCCAAAGATTCAGGGGTCCTGAGGTAGAAGATCTTTTGTCTCGTTGCGTTCAGGTTCGACATCCGCGGCCCTGTGCGGCAGATCATTTTCCTCCTGCTCTTCGTGATGATGTGAAGTAGACCGTCAGCGTTGTGTTTCCGGTCCAGGGCAGGGCACAGGAAGTGGGAAGCTGTTGATTGCCTGCCACATCTTGCACGAAATACATCGTAGAACGGAGGTTCTTGGCTTATTGGCTCAAGGGTGTGGGACCATTGTCGGCATTATTTCTTGCATTGCCGGTGTATGTGACTGGTTCTCGAATTTAAATCCACTACCCCCCTCCCTCCCCCTCAGAATAATTTTGGGAGATGTAGCCCTAAGCCCTAAACCCTAAACCTTAAACCCTAAACCCTAAACCCTAAACCCTATAAACCCTAAACCCTAACTGTAGAGTTTGGGTTCCAGGGCTGCATGCCGAATCCCCACAGATGACCTTCGCACTCGACGGGGCTCCGGGTTTCACTCGGCAGCCCTAAGCCCTGGAATCTGAGAGCGTATAAGCCTCCGAGTCACACGGTTTAGGGTTTAGGGTTTAGGGTTTAGGGTTTAGGGTTTAGGGTTTAGCTGATCTTAGACCCCAAACCTTAACCCCTGAAAATGCTCCGATGATAAAATCTTCGGTTTTGCGTACCAGAGTAAAGTGATGGTAGCTCATCCAGCAAGCCATTGGCTTGCCTTTAAGCCAGCCAGATGTGCTGCACTAGCTGAAACTCGGTGTGCTTTGGCGAAAAGGTCAATTTCTCGGCACAGGCTCACAGCTAGAGTACTGCAGGCGCTATTGTTTTACATGGAGTCTTTGCAGCTGGAATAGTCATCCAGGCCTTATGAACCCTAAGGCCTGTTAACGATCGCATGATGTGGCACGCTCCATGCGAGTGCTGGTCTGAAGCATGGCATTGGGCATGCAACGATACTCTCTTAGTGGCTGAGTAGGTAACCTTTAACCTTTTGGGGTTGATACAATCCTACCATAATTGAAAATGCTAACCTGTTTTGGGCTAGGGTACTCAGCCCCTAAGCTCTGGTTAAAGGGTTCAGGGGGTTCGGATTTGACATCGTTGCTGTAAGCCTGAACCAGAAGCACTCAACCTCAGACCCGAAACCCTGACCTCCACTATCTAAGGCAAAGCCCGAGCGCTGAATTTGATCGAACCCTCACAGAATATGGAGGCCTGAACAAGTAGAATAGGGTTTTGGGGCCCATTATACTATAATTATAATAAGGAACCCCCAAAATGGTAATGGTAGCTATTGAGGCCCATAGAGTATGCTTGCAGTTGCCAACTAGCCGGCAAAGTGAGGGGATCGAAGGACAAAGTCAAGCATCAAGTACCCTAAACCCAAAGCCCCTCGATCAACCCTAAACCCTAAACCCAAAGCCCTCGATCACTCTGAGACCGAAGACATGAAGCGTCAAAGCCCGAACTCAGGAATCCATATACAAACCCTAAGGGTCCATGTACCCAAGCAGTAGATACATTGCCCCCAAAGTACTTATATAGGGACTGCTTTAAAGCCAAAGTATATACTATTTGGTTACATGGACCCTTAGGGATATACAAACAAGTTGCACAAGTTTCACAGCCCGCCGAAATACCTACCGCAGCCCTGACCCTAAAGACCATGACACCTCGCGCCTTTTAGGGTTAAGGGGTTAGGGGTTTAGGGTTCAGGGTTGAAACACAACCCTAAGCTCTAAACCATACACCTGAAGGTCCATTGGGCTGACGGAAACAGGCGCTCAAAAAACAAAAATACACGCCACACAGCCGGTAACGCCAAAGCCAGAGACCCTAACCCTAAACCCCTAAACCCCTAACCCCTAAACCCTAAACCCTAAACAGAGCCCCGAAGCGCCGATCATGCCGGTGAGCTTCCATTTTGGTGAGGCGCGCACGCCCAAAAGCCGTACCTAAAGTTCAGAAATTCCTCGGGGCGTCTCGGCCTTCGGTTTTAGGGTTTAGGGTGTAGGGGGTTTAGGGGGGTTTCGGGGTTTATGGGTTTAGGGGTTTAGGGTTTAGGGAGCTTAGAGTTCAGGTTAACTTCAAATCCATCTTGCCCAGCAGGAGTACTGTACTACAGAGAATAGCAGTGGGCAGTACGACTTGTAATGCTAAGCAACACTATACGGCCTGGATGTTTCGGTGAGTGATAAAATCACTCAGCTGTAAGTGCTGAACTGAACTGCTCCAAGTTGCCACGAAGTTTCACATACTGTTGATATGGTCAAGAGCTCGGTGTAGATCGTAGGGTTGTGAAGTCCAGCATTTTGATTGGGTAGGGTTCAGAGTGAAAAAGGGGTTGTACTAGTAGCCTCCTTCCTGAGCGGTGCTTTCTGATTCTAACCTCAACAAAGACTTTTTGCTGGACATACATGCACCGGTATTGCATACAATTTCTCTAAACACTATACCCATAGCCGCAAGTCCACGCAAATGAAAACCTAGGTGCGAGCGGGATGGCTCTGTAGATAGGAGAACACAAAGCCAGATTTCGCAAGCCGGGGAGAAGAACCGCACGGAAAACCTGGAAACCCTAAACCCTACCTTAAAGTCTCCGTTGTAGCTCCTTTTGGGGGTTCTCTTATAGGATCCTACATATAAAATGGGTTTAACCAAAAAAAGGAACTGCAAAGGACTATAGGTAAACCACAAGCCACAGAGGAGAACCGGCCGGAAAACTTGGCGGGACGGCCAAAGACGCCGATCACGCTCCTGGCGGGCTTTCTTGGCTCTGGGAAGCTTGCCGCGATATAGGGTTTAGGGATATACGAGACTTATGTGCACGCATGTCTATATGTTATTGGTATATATACATATATGAGTACCTGCCCAGACACAAACATATATATATATATATATATCTGATACATGTACATGTATAGCTAACGAGATCGAGCGCGAGAGAGACGTACATCCGCTGGTTGGTTGAATGACTGATGTTTTTGTTCCTTGACTGGTTGATTGATTGTTTGATTGATTGGCTGACTAACCGACTGACTGATTGCTTGATCTATGGAACGTTTGCTTAGTTTTGCTTGCCTGCTTGCGCGCTTGCCCGCTTGCCTGCTTGCTTGCTTGCCTGCTTGCTTGCTTGCTGCTTGCTTGGTGGATGGATGGATGAATGGATGGATGGATGGATTGATTGAGTTGTTCATTCATTGATCTGGTTGTTTGCTCGGTTGGTGGATGGTGTGATGTTTGCTCGATTGTTTGATGTATTGGTGCAGCCATTCCTTCACGCCCCCGTCCTTTGATTCCTTCATTCCCTCGTTCATTAGTGAACTCCTTCATCCTTTCATTCATCAACTCATTCGTCCAGTGAGTCATACTTTCGATCACTCATTTATGCATGGTTCGTATTAAAAACTAGTTCTTAGCTTGGCCTAGCTGCTCGAGGTCGCTCGCGAGACGGTTGAGCACCAGACCTACAACTTGGGAACGTGTAAATTTAGGGTTTATGGTTTTAGGGTTTAGGGTTTTGCGGTTAGGGTCTTGGGGTTGGGGTTTAGTGTTCAGGGTTCAGCCCTGATACCAGCTTTGCGACATGGTTTTGTCAGGTGGAGGGATCGTCGGTGCGGGGATCGCCCACAAACAAGAACCCTGATTTAGAGAGCTTCGCACACAGTACGGGACTTGCACCTGGACCGATCGTCGAATTCCTAACTGTGTTTTGCCCAGAAAAAAGCAGACTGGAGTTTCATCAATTTGGTGTACAGCCGGATTGGGTCATTTACCTAAAGTCTCCGTTGTGCTTCCATTTTCGGGGTCTCCTATAGGATACCGAAATCGGAACTACAATGGAGACTATAGGTGGGACCTATAAGCAACTTCGTTTTATCAACCTCACAGAGCCCTGTAGTATGCCCTAAACCCTGAAACCCCAAATGCCCTTAGCCTACTTAGGAAAACCACTCTCTTGAAGCACTTGCTGGAGAATCAGAGTGGTCTCCGCATTGGTGTGGACCAGAGCTCAGATTGCCAGCTACAAGGGCAGTTCTCTAAACTAGGGTCCCTTTTTAGGTCCCCAATATAGTACGGCACTCTTATAAAACGGACCCTAAAAGGGACCCTAATTTAGAGAACTAGCTACAAGGGTTTAGGGTTTAGGGGCTCAGGGTTTAGGATTCAGAGCTTAAACTTATCTTCGTCGTCGCCAGAAGCCTCCATTTTTAGGGTTGTCATGATACATGTTCCCTTTAATGGTCATTACAAATAAATATATATATATATATATATATATTTATTTATTTATTTATTTATTTATTTATTTATCTATTTATATTTTTTTTTGGTGGTGGAGGGGGTGAGGGGGGCTTTGCGATTGTGGCTTCAGGGATTTAGAAGTTAGGGGACTCGGGTTTCAGGGAGATGGATTTCGGCTTAGGAGTCTGGACAACTTGTTCGTGTATTGTAGTTCTGGATGGTACGGTTCCCCTAAGGGTCCATGTACCCTAATAGTACCTATCTAGGGACTACATTAAGGCCAAAGTATAGACTATTTGGGTACATGGACCCTGAGGGTTCGTTCAATGAATGAATCCCACGGAGCAGGCTTGGTACATCGATTACAATCTTTCCGTGCTTTACAAGGTAAGCCTTGTGGACCAGGTAACTCAGCCCTACTTAACAAACTGGCCGGAAGAATGGAACAGCCTTCGGCATAATCACGGGACCTAGAGCTCAGAGGGCTGTGCAGAGTCAAGCTGGTAATCATCGTGGTCATTGGCACCCGGCCAGTCACCAACCAAGCGCACACTGGTCTTCTAGTGCACCCCCCCCCCAAATGGATCATAAATCCCTAAACCCTAAGCCCTACACCCTAAACCCCCCATTAGATCATAAATCCTCGGCCCCAATTCATGGCTTGCTTCGGAAGTCTGACGTGCCTCACCCAGCAAGCAAGACCCCTTCTTTAAGCACGGGCCAGGATGAATCGTCTTATGAAGGTAGGCATAATGAGGATTTCAGCATGTAGGGCTTATAGCCCTAAACCCTAAACTCCTTAACCCTCAAATTCCTGAACCACAAGACAACCCTACGTAAGCCCTGTCTATAGAGTTCAAGGTCTTTATG